GGAATAGACAGTATAAGGCGAGCGCGAGAGCTTTATCCGTAGCTAACGTGTGCATGCGTCAAACGATCGATTGCATTCAAGAAGGCACAACCGTAATCGATGGCGGAGAGCCAATGATGTTCGTACGGATATCATTGAAACGATACAGCTAATCGGAGCGAAGATGTCCGAAAAGTTTTAGCCTAAAACTCAAAAGTTTTCGTTACGAATAGTCGAACGCACTGCGTTCAACGCAGTGCTGGCTAGAACACGAACTTCGTGTCACGAAGGAAGCAGAAGAAAACCTAGATTAATTGATTAACGGTAACATAATAGTTACCAATAGTGACACAGCTGGCTTAGCTCAATCGATCGGTGGCTTCATCAGCTGAACTGGGGCATAGCTCAGTGTAGAAGTCGGACCCAGGCAAAGGTCCCGCGGCCAAGCATACTCCGTGAAATAAAATCACAAGTCCAGTCCTTGTACTGAGATGGTTAAATACTGAGTATGTGATAATTCGAGGTACACGCTATAATTCATAACCCGATATGCTACCAAATTTGTTCGTCAAATAGCATTTGAACAGACGAAATACGGCCCCAGAATCAAAACTCACAGCTGATCCATCTGGGAAACTGCCGAGCGGGAAGTGCCCGCCAACAACTCAACCATGAATTCATTTGAAAAACAGTTGTGGCATAGATCCAGAATGAGGCGCGTGAGACTCTCTCATTAGTGGTTTGCCCATTGAGATAACACTACACTGGATATAATTGCACGAGAATGCCTCCAAGGCTGCCTGATTATACTTAGCCGACGAGGACTATCTTCATCATAAGCTTAACTAAGAGAATCCTTCAGCCTGGAGAGACGTACTGTGTGCAACGGGCAGCGACAATGATGCAGCAGCATCTCACAGTCTCCTATTGTACCCGGAGTCCGGGTCCCGGACTTTCGCTGACTCTCCTGGGTAGAAACGGCACGTTTTTGGGAGCAAACCTGGATGTTCGAAACGGCTCCTCATAGAACGGCCGCAGGGGCGATAGGAAAAGAATGCAGATAATTTTACTCGAAATACTAAGAGCCCTCAGAATCAGTCGAGCACGAGTCGAATCCCATGATAGATGTATAAGTTTCGACAACAATGAAAGCGACCAGTGAGATTAATGACGGATGAAAACCCCACAACTTGAAACCGGTAGTCCGGACAACGCAATCCATGCAAACCATAAAACCAGTTGTTTCTGGAAGGTATAGTGCGTAACGTTTCGATCACGTCGCTTGCAGCACATCTTACTCATCTCGATCGAACTGATTTGGACAAATCAGCCAGAATCTCCTCCTCGAGAGTCTCGAGTCGAGACGGACAGAATGAAAAAAGAGACGGGTACTCGATATCTACACAGTGTAGAATACGGTAGTGAGTGTAGACTACACTCCTTATCCTAGCAGAGGGGACAGCCAAGTTTTCCAGAAGCGCGTTGAATATGTTGACTATCTCCCGGCAGTAACTGCCGGGAACTGTTCGAATACTTTCCATATAAGCCGTTCTTCCGGGAGCATATCTCCCGTGCATTATAGTATCAGCGAGGAGCGAACGAATATTCTCAAATTTGCCGATCAGTTAAAACGGAACATGTCTGCAGGTAATTAATATAAATACTGAACCGAGATGGTCAGGAAAGGTATAGCTTCTCGATCTCGACCATGATATTGCCAACTTGGCAGTTCCGATCTCGTCTTGAAACTACTCGAGATCGAGAATCTCGCACCCTCCCGAGTCGCGCTTTCAACACCTGCTTCAAGAAAATGCTCCCAGCCAACAATACTCAACGCAACATTAGAGAAAGTGCGCGATAACAATGTTAACATGACCGCTATGATAATCATGCCATGTAGCCATTTCCATGTTATCAAAACCTAACTATCGATTCATCGTCATGTTAATATAATCGCGGTAGTTGAAGTGGCCGTCAATGTGATCGAGATTCGAGCACAGATCCTTAGCCTCTATCTCACTCAGCCGACCTTCACCATAACTCTATCAATATGGAGTGAATCCTACCTGGACCCTCGAAGAATCAACTCACAGTTAAAGCACGGTGCAAGTCATTGATGGAGATAGTTCCGTCAGCGGCATCAGTAGCAGCGATTGCTTTAAATGCGCTCTCAACTTCTTCGGGTGGATAATCGTCGCTGGTCCTTCGAGACATCACCTTCGAGGGATACGCAAGTCTCGATAGCCTTGAGCCGTGCGGGAAATTATGCACAAGGTCAACCACATATGTTGCCAACAAAATATTGGTGACAATGTGAAAATTCTGAGAGAA